GGAGAATGCCTGTAGGGTGGTAAAGACTAAGATGATGAAAAACATGCAACAGTTACATTTATTGAACACTTACTATTCACGCACACTAGTGGTCACTGAAAACACACCATAGAGTGTGGCACCTAATAAGTGGTCAGTAAACTGGGGCCATGGTATTGTTGTTTCATTATTTTGATTTTGTTCCAGACCCAGGTGGGGGCCAAGGAAGATGATCATCTCAGCACAGGCACACTGCCCTCTGGTGCTGCTGCTGAGGAATCAGCACCTGGAGAAGCAACTCCAGGAAACAAGAACAAGGCCAGGGTGCCAGCCCCATCCCCATCTGCTCCGTTTTTACACCTGGCCCTTAGCACATCTGTCCACCTAAAGCTCCAGTCCACCACACCCATCTCAGGAGGACAAGCCAGTGCTGAAAGGTGCTGGCCGCAGAGGAGACCCCTGCTCCTGGAGCATCAGTCCTTTCTGTGGCCAGGGATAGCCTGGGGAGGTTCCTGGGGAGAAAAGTAGCAGCGCTGGAGGGTCCTGAATAAGCAGGGAGGGGCTCCCGCTGCAGCTGTGGGAGGAAGAAGCAGGGGCAGCTGACTCAGTGGATCACAAGCACAGTCCCAGTTGCTGAGTACAAACAGATCTCCGCATAAAAGACCACCTCAAGCTGCCTGCAGCCTCTCCCGCTCAGTCCTTGTCCCTCCCCCAACAGGAGAAGTAGTTCTCACGCCCACAGGGGCATTTGTGCATCCTCTCCATGCCCTGAGGCAGGAAGCTGTTTCCTGGGTAGGGACAGTCCCTGTGGGAGCATGGGAAATAAGGGAGGTGGCTCACTGGCCCACAAAGGACCCTAACAGCAGTCAGGCAGTCTTGCATTCCTAGAGGGATGGGGAAATAAGAAGTCCTTCTAAGCTCTTTCAACACAGCACTGTGGGCTGGGCTTCGGAATTCAGCCCAGTGTCATGGCCAGCTGCAGGGGGTTTGGGTGACCTTGGAAAAGCTTAGTCAGGCCAGGGTACCTGGCTCATCCTGCATCAACCGCTCTCACAAACCCCAGGTCATCTGGACGTCAAAAGACTGTTTAGCGCAATGCGAGTCGGCATCAAGAAGAAATTAAACTCCAGCTGGAGAAAGAGGAAAGCCCAGGCTGACAGGAGCAGCTGGGCTGAAAAGTGGAGGCAGAGACTCCTCAAGTTAATGCTTTCTAAGGCCCCTCAGGCCACTCCCAGGTCTTGTGTGAAGCTATTTACTTCCAGGGGGGGAAACCCTATTGATCTTCATTCAGCTGCTGTCTGTTCCTCCGCAGCAGCGATGTTTCAGCGCATCACCAGTCACTGAGAAATTTCTCATTGTTTTACACGCAGTGGCTCCTAAACTCAAGAAGCGATCAGAGGAGTTGCAGATGGGGCTAGCTTAGGAATTCTGAGGGGAGGGAGGGGCCTCCCTCCCCAAGGAAGGGCTGCTGTTGTCCTCTGGGCTCCTGTACATCGAGGAAGCTCGGGTCCCTATAACTAGTTCTGTTCTGCCTGCAGATGTTCAGCTAGTCCAGAGCTGGGCCAGCGCCTCCATTCCACCCAGTCCCATACACACAAACATGCACACACCTGCTTTATGTCTCTGCAGTCATTTGGCTTTGAACCTCTCCACTGACTCTCTAGAGTTCACCACCATCTACCCAAGCTCTTCATCACACAAGGCTGGCCAGGCTTCCCCAGCTGCCACCACCACTGCATGGTCCACAATGTTTGAGATAAAAATATGTCTGTAGTCCAAGGAAAGATCTAATCGTGAAACCTACAGTGACATTAACAGTTCCTTCCAGCTTGTGCTACTGGGAACTTTGAATCCATGGAATGCCAATCATGAAGGTTAACCAAATTGTTTACAGATAGGGAAACTGAGGATCAAGGTAGGAAGGAAAGTGTGATTTGATCAAAGTGGTCCAGATAACTGGCAGCAGATAAAGCAGAAAAGCCAAGCCTCCTGCCTCCAAGCCCAGTTCTGGGTCACGGAACCTGAAAATCCAGATCCCCAACAGGTCACCCAAGCCCATTTGGCAGAAAGAACCCTGCACCAAACTGCTTTCTGTAAGTTAAGACCAGGATCCATCCAAACAATAATAATAATGATAATAATAATAAAATGCTGAACAATATGCCTTGCAAACCTTCAATGAGCAGCACTTGATAATCACACACAGAATAGATCTTCCACATATTCATATAAAATAATCAATGATCATTTTTTCCCAAAGACTACAATCCAATTACTCTCTCTCCCTCACTCTCTCCCTGTGCTCCTTTGTTACTTGCAAACCATCCAAGCAATCAATGCCTTGACCTCTCCCTCTGATAGACACAATTACAAAAAGACAGAGCAATGCAATTCATCTATTCAAGATGGATTGTTTGAACACTCTGTCACACTGCTGAGCTATCCATCTCCTTGTCCAAGAGGAAATTTCAGCCCCAAAAAGAGGCACAAAGAGAAGGGGTGGGTACGATGCTCTCCAGCCCAGAGAGCCTGTCTCACACCTGCAGGTAAACCCTCTCTGGGCCGGTGCTCAGCAATGCCTGGCTGCTACAGAAGGATTCAGCTCCAAGCTCAGCCAATCCACGCACCAATCTTGGGAACCAGAAGTGCCCAGCATGCTCCGGAGCCCAGTTTCTAGGATCTCGATTCCTGATTTCCTAGCCCCAGCCAGAGCCCTTAGATTCCAGGGGTGGGAGGGATGGGAAAAGAAGATGGCATAGGGCCCAGCCAAGGCGATGTGTTTGGGTTTCAGCATGAGATTCGTCTTCTCTTTCCCTCTCCTTCTCCTCTCTCTGCGACACATCCACTGTAGCTTCTTGGCCCCAGCTGGGGTTCAAGCATCAGCTCAGAAGGATGGAAGCTCACTCCCCGGGCCACTCCAGAGAAGTCTGGAGGTCCTCGAGCCTTCCCATTTCTCTACCCAGGCTGGCACAGTTCCAGCAGTCACGTTTGGCATCGACACGGCACCCCAGTCCTTGGGCTGGGAACCAAATGGGGCAGGGCTCCTGGATATAAATGGCCTGGGCTGACATGCTAATTAATCCTGGGCTTAATATGAAGAAGATTAGAAGAGAGGAGACTGCCGTTCTTTAATTACATTATTGCATGCTGAACCCAAGGAAGGACAGCAGGTTTGGAGAAGGGTTCAGGGTCACGGGGTACTCTCAGCCCCATCCAATTTCACAGTGAGAGCGGGCAGGTCGAAACACATCATCCTAGCCCTCTGCAGCGCCCTCCCTCTATGGTTGCCCTCACCTGCTCCCGTCTCTCTGGGTCTCTAAAGATGTCTATCCCTGAGGCTGAGCTGGGCTGGGAGCACATCCATCTTACCCTGGGGAGGAAGGATCAAGGAAGAGGGACCTGCAAAGCATGGGAGGGACACAGATGACCTTTAGGGTTACTATTTTCTCTCCCAAGGATACCCTACCATGCAGGTCCTCCAAAAACAAGGGAGGAAAGAAGGGACAGAGGAAGTGCTTGTCCACTGTTAAAGGAGCTGCCTGCCCCTGGAATGGTGACTGTGCTGAGTTCTGGGGAGGCAAAAGCAGAAATAGAAGACATTTTTAGCTTGCCAGGAGCAGCCTGGACTGCAAAGGGTTAAACCTAGCCGCGCGAGGGCTGTCCGTAGAGTCCCCTCCTGAGCCTGGCCTTCTCTGCCTCCCTCCTCTGCCAGGGTCCTGGTGCACAGACTGAAAGACCTCAGCGTTGCTCTGGCCCCATTTCCCTGATGTCAAGTTCCAGAGGGTCTGGTAGGTGGAAGACAGCCAAGGAGGAGACAGACCTTCTAGGGTTGCCGACCACCTCCTAGGGAAGACTCTAGTATGGAAGCCAAGCCTGACAACCGTTCCTGCATTCCCGTTCATGAGGCTGGCAGCCCAGATTTCGAGCCAGGAGAAGCACCACAGAGGAGGAAGGTGGCCCTGGCTGGCCACAGCTCTGCTTGCCTTCTGCCAGACGCTGGCGATGGTACCTCACGAACCCAGGCGGCCCAGGTCTCCGGCCTTGGCTGCAGGCGTAAAGCCCCGGCGACGTAGGCTCCCGCGTAGCCCGACTGGGCCCGTGGGCTTGCCAGATACGCACCGCCACTCGCACAGCCCTGTGCGCTGCCCACGGGGTGCCTTGAGCGGCCACAACAAAGTTAAAGCCCCGAGTAAGAGTAAGTCTCCGAGGAGAAGAGACTGAAGCAGCCCGAGCCTCAGAAAGGCACGCACAGGCCGGCCAGCTGCCTCCAGCTGCGGAGGGATTTCGGCTAACTTTAAAAACCACTCGCATCTCTCGGCCGCCTTCCCCGGCCGCGCTGGGCCGCCTCGATCGTTCCCTTCCTCCCACCTCCGTTGCCCCGGGCAGAGAGGAGCCTGGGTCTCGAGAGACAGACTAGAGTGGCCAGGGGAGGGAGGGCTGCCCCTCCCCTGCCCCCCGTCGAGGTGGAAAAAGGCCGCCTAGACCGAGGGCGGCCAGCGGGCGGGGAGACCCTGCTGCCCTCGTCTTGCAAATCCGTACCCTGTGCCCCCACTGCCACCGCTAGAGCTGTGCCCGAAGTGAGGGCGAGGGGCCCGCGGGGAGCGAGAAGGGGAGAGAAGCGAAGTTGGCACCTTCCCCAGGGCTTGTACTCCGCGGAGAAGCCGGGTCCCACAACTCGGTCTGCGGCCAAGGCGCGCTAGCAGTCGCCGCCGAATTCTCGGGCGCCTCGGGTTAGAATTGGAACCCTTCGCCACCCTCCACCGGGTCTGACCTCCCAGGAGTGCGCCGAGGGCCCCTCGCCCACCACGGCCCCGCGGCCTCCTCCCCACTAAGTAAGGCCTACGACCCTGGCTTTGGAACTTTGTCCTCGTCACCATGAGGAGCTCCTGGTTATTCAACCGGCCCCAGCGGCCCGAAGAGAGGCTGGGGAAAAAAACCTCTCCGGACCAATTGGGGCCCCCATTCCCGCCCCCGCCCGAGCGCTCAGAGACCTCACCTCCCCGGTTCTGGGGAGCCCTTACCGATCCGGATGACGTGGGGCATCCCGCGCGAGTCTGGGATCCAGAAGGCGCACACGAGGAGCCCGGCCCAGTATTCCCAAACCAGACTCCGGAGGCGCCGCCAGGGAGCGGTCATCGTTGGGCGCCGCCGAGCGTGCCCGGGGCGCGGCCGTGGCGGACTCCCTGGGGCGGCAGCTCTAGGCGCGGGCGCGCAGCAGCCCCTGAGGCGCCGCCTGGCCCAGCTGCCCGGCTCCCGAGCGCCGCTGCGAGTGGGGGGCGCCCCGCGGCGCTGCGCACATCTTACTGGGGGGCCACCCTGCCGGGGCCCGCCCCGCCTGGCTGCCGCCCACGGGCAGCCCGCGGGCAAGGCTCCTGGGCTCCGCCCGGGCTCTGCTCGGACTCGTCTCCGGCTCGCGGCGGCTGGGCTCCGCACGGGCTCCCACCTGCCCCGGCTGCCGGGCGCTGGCGGGCGGGCTGCACGCGTCTCTGGCCGCTCCTCCTCCAGCCGCCGCCGATGCTATCGCCGGGCTCGCACAAAGCCCCGGAGTGGAGTTGCACGCGCGCACACTCCCTCTCAGCCCCCTCCCCCGCGCCCTGCCTCCCGCCTCCCGCCTCCCGCGCCGCCCGCGCTCCCTCCGCGCACTCCCCCGCGCACACACTCTTCACACTCACACTCGCCGAGGCGCACACTCGCGCGCTCACACCTGCGCAGAGGGCGGGGAAGGGGACGCTGGACCCGGTTTGAGGGGACGCCCAGAGGACTAGGACTCTCCTCTCCTCGCTTCCCAGACGTCCTCATCCGCCCTGCCGCCCCCAGTCCCTTCGACTGCGAGGGCACAGAGCCCGGGAGCCAGGCGTGGAGCGCGAGAGCTGGCACCGCGAGCTGGGAGACGCGGCAGCCCAGCGGCCCGACCAGCTGGAGGAGGCGCGCCCGCCGGCAGCAGCGAGACCGGAGCCCGCCGTCTGCGGAGCCTCCCCTTCCCGCTCCCACGCGGCCCGCGCTGCGGGACCAAGGCGCCCGGAGCCTGACCCAGGGGCCAGTGTCCCTCCATTAGCCCCAGCCCTTGGGGAGGCAGGGTTGGGCCTGGAGGACAGGGGACTGGGGAGATAAGATTCAAAGAGAACTGTCCAAACTGGGGCAAGGGGAACCGCGGGAGCCGGAAGGAGTGGGAGAGACGAGGCGGGACCCTCTGCGCGGAAGCCTGGCTTGACCGCGCACAGCACACTCCCGCTGCGGAGCGAGACCGCTAAACCCTCAGGTCCCCAGCCGCGTGTTTGCTTGGGCCCGCACCTCTCAGCTCTCTCCCCCACCTAGGCAGTGGGGGCTAATGGCCCCTGCCCGGTTCCTCCTGAGAAACAATAGAGAGAATGGAATTTTCCATGGGATCAAGCAGAACCGACGGGAGAGCAAGCTGCAAGGGTTAAAAAGAAATGTTGTTTATTAGCAATAATAAATTTTTTTCAAGTGGCGCTGGGTGTCAAGGGAAGAGAAGGGCCGTGGAGGAGGCTGGAGCAGGAGGCTGCGAATTGCGCAGTTAGGCGAGTTTAATGACCTTTCTGACAGAGACAAAGCAGTGCCGATACAGTAGATAAAAAAACGGATCTGTCACCGGGCAGCGGCTAGGTTGTGTGCGAATTTATTTTTCTCATTTAAATAATTTGATCTATTCCATCATTTCTAATCTCTTCCATTTGCCAGCTGTCGGGTAAGAGGATGGCCCCCAACATCTGAAGAGCAAATCTCTAATTTTCTTACAAATATACTATGAGTCTAGCTCTAACCCGACTGTTAATTTGCCATCTTTTCTTTCCCTCCCTGTCTGGGCGTGGGGGAGCGTGGCATTGTGTTGGGGATGTGATGTTGCAGTATGGCCAGTCCTGTCAATTAGGAGGGTTCTCCCTCTCAGGGAAAGTGGAGGTGACCGTGGACATGGGGCGAAGACACTTCCCGGGCTCTCCGCAAGAGAGGCGAGAGTGTCCTGTGCCCTCGCTGGGGACATCATGGATGACCTGATGGTAAATGGAGGTTATGGGCTGTCTGTGCCATACATTGGCCTCCCTTGCCCTCACCCTCTAGTAGGAGCAGCTGGTTTCCCAAGCAGCCATTGCAAAGTGTTGCCTGAGAGACAGGAGGGAAGGACGTGTAGACCAGAGCCAGAGAAGTGGCAGCTGCCCCCTTCTGATAGATGGTAAAGCCCCAGTGGGCCCAGCAAGGAGGCAGTGCGGGATAGGGCAGCAGAGGGCCCCTCCCTCTAGGATACATCCGGGGAGAGCTCACTGAGGCCCCCATGCCTGCCCATCAGCTTCCACGGCTGGGTTTGGTTACTCCCAAGGAACCAAAAGCCTGGCCGTTCCCTAAGGAAGAAAACTCCAGTGCCTTGATGGAGAAAAGAAAAGGGACGTGAACTCAGGACAAAGATGCAGCGCTAAAGAGGCACTGCCAGCAGTGCCCCAGGCTGGTTAGGACACAAGGTGAGGGGGAAAGAGTCTGGGCGCTGATTCTGTAAGGACCGTCCTGCAGGCAGCTCCCTGACAGGAGGGCGCGGGGTGTGGACCAAGTAAGTGGCTAGGTGGGAAACAGAAGAAGCAGGCGGTGGAGGTGTGGCAGCAGAGGAGCAGTTCTTCCCTCCGTCCCAGGGTGAGAGTGTGGCTCTGGGACCCTCACTGTCCCCCGGAACAGCACAGGCTGGCCTGGCCCCCTGCATCCCGGAGTGGGGAGAATTCCCCAGAAATGCAGCCATGCGCTTGGAGGCTTTTCTCTGAGGGCAACTGGGCTGCGGTGGGAAATTGCCTCCCAGCTGCAGAGGCTACAGGACCCAGTCGTTAGGCTTGCCAGCCTGGCAGGAACCGTGGGGTCAGATGGAAGCTGCTGTCCCCAACCCAGGACTAGACCTCTTTCGTGACCCAGCTGCGAGCCATTTTGTAACACAGGCTTGCTTCCCCACACTGACAGCAGCCTGCTCCCTCCCAGTCTGGGGGAGGGTGGGATGCATCATGGAAACAACACAAACAACAGCAGTGATCATCATGACTGCATGTTTTCTACATTCCAGACAAGACACTCACTACCTTGCATGTATCACCTTATCCAGTCCTCTCCTCAACCTACCCTGATAGGATTTTTGTTATTTTTCCATTTTACTAATAAAGACTCAGCCTCAGAGGGGTTCAGAAGTCCAAAAGCACACTTCTAGTATGTGATCTTCCTTCCCTCTCTCCCTCCCTCCCACTAATATATATTGGTATCACTCTCTGCCAGGCACTGGATGAGGTTTCACACAAAAACCCACCCAACTGCTAGGCTTGCAGAGCACCCATGTCCTACTCCACCTGGGCTGAGCAGAGCAGGCTCTAGACAAGACCCTTCTCCCTCTTTGAAGGCTGCCAGATCCTCCAGCTGCCTGTGGAAAGGCTGCGAGTAGAGTAGGATTGGGCCCTTCCCTGGGGCAAGCTGGGGACCACAGTGGTCCCTAACTCATGAGGAAAACCCTGCAGCCCTCTCTCCAGTCCTGTGCTGCCAGCAAGCACCAGGGCTGGCAGGATCTCAAGCCACATCTCTGGGGATTGGGAGCCACCAATCCTGGCTTTTTGCATTGTTGGTAAACAAGTCTACCCACCAGCCAGGCTTCAGCTCCCCGCTCCCCCACAAGGCAGCCAGCTCTGGATTTATGAGGCCTCCAAACCTCATTCAGACTAATGCAGCTTTTCATTCCCAAATAAAAGGGGCCGCTGTCTGAAAGGACAAGTGCTCCCGCATTTCATTAACATCCCCTAAAACGGCTGAGCTGGCCCACATGGCTGCCAGCGAGATTCATGTCTCCCACCAGCTCACAGGTGGGGTGAGGGTCGGACTCCAAGGAAGGGACCAGATTGCCAGCCCCGCCCTGGCTCCCTCTCAGGCCCCTCCCTGGCTTCTTCGGGCAAAAGAGGTGGCCCCCAATGGTGGCCAAGTGAACTCATTTGAACGCGTCCCCTGTGTGCGTGTTTTGTTTAGACTGATCCACTTGGCTCTCAATCCTCCCACAATCACAGTGAATGATGAGGCCCTGGGCTCGAGTTACTGAGATTCATGATCTCCGCTTCCCTGGGAAGCCACTGAGCAGTGTTCGGCTGCTGAGTGCAGATTCCTAGGACTTGAGTGCCCTCTGCCGAAGCCTGCCTACTTTCAGCTCCTCCAGCTGCCCGGCAGTGGGCAGGGCTGGTGAGACTGGATGCTGCAGCCCTAACCCTAACCCTCAGTGTGGAGACGGGACTGCTGGGATCACTCTGTGACCTGCTCTCGTGGCACCTTGGTGAGAATGGGGAAGAGGCTGCCTTTCCTCCTCTCACTCCGGGACCAGAGGAGACAGCTGCCAGCCCTTGCTTGATCTTTCCCAGCTGCCCAAGCAGGGCAGAGAGGGCAGCAGCCTCTCCAGAGCCCCCTCTATTTCACAGCACTCTCTTAATAGCAAAGCACATGCTCACCACAAAAACCAAGTCCATTGGAGGACACTGGGACCTGCCTCTTAGTTCAAGGACAGGGACTTTTTCAGCAGCCTAGAGCCTTTGTCCCTCATCTCCATCCCAAGAAAGGAGAAGCACAGCCAGGCAGCTACCTGAGCAATCAGCAAGTCCAGCAAAGATGGCATCACCTTAGATTTTTGTCAACAGTCAAGCAAGTTCTTTCCCACTGAAGTCAATTCCTGTGTTTATTGTCAGCTTAACCCGATGCTGCAAGTTATTTCTTAGCAGTAAGAGAGACAGGTAGACAAGCCACCAGAGATATGTTATTTTACTGACATCTGCGTTTCAATGGTTCAGGTGCAGTTCTGGTGGAGGAGTAAACGAGACGCAAGACACACGATACACAGCAATCCTATTTGTATCTATACATAATGGAACAGCGTTGATGGGCTGAAGCCCAGAGGGCCCTCCTGCAGAGCAGGGGGAGGCAGGGAGAAGTGCATGAAGGGGCTACAGGCCTCCTGGCCCCCTACACTCTGCACTTGGGGTGTGGACAAGTCACACACTCAGCCACCTGCTCATTCAGACATTCTCTAATTCATTTATTCATATAATCACTCAGTCATTCATTCGGTCACATTTATTCATGCATTAGTTCATAAGATCACCTATTTATTTTTTTCCACTCAGTCA